CACTTGTGCGGTACTGGGATTGATATGAGACATAGTGAGCAACATCCATAGAAATTCACGTTGTTCTATAAGAATGTTGACGTTCTTATCTTCCCCTAACGGCGGGAAGACTGTCTCATTCAAGTGACAATCCGTAAATGAGCGGTAAAGAGATCACATGCAATGGCTCTAAAGAGCTAGTGCGAAGGAGAATCATGATCGATAAAGATTCACATCCTTATTTGATGACCCATATTGGTACATTGCGGTGGTGCAACTTGGCATATGGAATGCACACCCAAAACACATAAATACGAAGCGTCAGGATTCGTACCTAGTAACCGACTGTAACGTCAAAAATGGTTGGGTGGCCATGGGCCTCAAGGCGAACCAACATAGTTACGTACAAGATTGCATAGCCTTAGGCATAAACTAAAAGCTTGGTGCGTTCACCAAGGTTCGGAGAATCAATTAAATTGCACTTTATGATTGCTCTACGAGGCTATTTTGGGATGAATATGGGAATTTGATGTCTAATTATAAACCCAAAAGAAATGCAATACTAATTGAAAACCTTCAATATAAACTCTTCAGACTTTATGGGATAATTAGGATGGTGAATCCTTATAATCGGCTAAGAGGATTAACAACAATGTGTGTGGACAAACATGTGACCAGTTTGTCGATTCATTAACCAAAACCATAAGTGTTTATATGGTCTGCATTTTGGTTGGATTAGTCCACATATCGTATCTTTGCTAGGGATGATTTAGAAATCAATTTCCCCAACGAGCAGGCTTGGCAAAGTGTGCTTATAGGCACACAATCCTTATTTCTGGTAAGGAGATGCATCGTGGCATCATTGTTCGACCTAAGTGTCCAAAAAGTTGTGCCAAGGCAAGTAAACTGCTCAATCACCAGGCTTCAGGCCGGTCACATGTGGCGTGTTCCCAGTTGGGAGACAGCCCATTTGCCCCAAAGCAAAGCTTTAAGCTCATATTTGGAGGTGGTGCAAAGATATTCTACTATATTTTCCACCAGTGGTTTCATTCATGATTATTGTCATCTCGAATATCCTTAAGACTCAATGATGTTCTTCCAGAACAGATAGAATATAAGGTATCTTAAATGGTAATGTAGTACTATTCATACAACGATGAGCGTGCCAATGCTCTTAATCAGGTTGGATAGACCTGAAGTCATTGCTAGAGATGTGATTTAGGTCTAAAGTTAGTGTGCGTAGTATCACATTCATCCAAACAACTACCTTTCCCACATTTGTACCTAATCACGTGTTTAATTGAATTTGGTCACATGTATACAAGAAACATGATTCAATTAACTCATATTCAAGGACAATATTGATAAGATTAATGAAAATAAACACCAAACGTGAATCCAAGAACATAGAAAAATGTTCACAAAGTAAACCAAGGTTACTAAGGTGGATTCAGGCAACATGACCACGGTGTTTGCTGGAGCAAAATTAGTCTCACATATAGACTCCAACTGAAGCTAAGTCTATACCGTTCTCACATTTGTGGTAGTAATCAGATACGAGAATTTGGTAAACTTCTGTTTTCTATACTGCTACTTCAAAAGCGAGTTAGAAACATGGAATGACGAGAAAAGTATTCTTTAGTCAAAATTCAATCGGATTTATAACTTCAGAATCACACTCATTCATGGACGTAATCACGGTGTGCTTCAGGTAAAGTTAGAACATTCGGGTTCTAAGACATGGTTTGCATGAAAAACGTTGGGCTTTCATGGGTGTTTTGTTTTATGAAAACTTCGGGTTTTAAAGGCACTAAATTCGAAACTACAGGTTCAATTTAGTTTATGAACGTTTAGTTCATAAAAGAGAGGTTCCTGGAAGAACACAGAATGCATTATGCTGATTTAAGCGTAGTGGATTTAAGTTGCTTCAGGAACTTAAGTGTGAGCGCTTCGAGACTATGAAAGGATGTCAATGATTCAAAGAAGATAAATAAATTATTGAATCGTTAATATCCAAAAATGGGCATCAAGCCAATAATTTTGGATGTCTTGTCAGATTAATGGAATGTTGCTCACTTTTAATTAATTCAACAAATCAGGACCATACGGGGTCTATCATGGAAGCAAAATAATGACATTCGGGTCATATTAGCTTCGATTGGTGGCAGGTTAAGTGACAAGTGAATTATGGCTTAGTACAACTTTAACTAAAAACGTCCCAAAAATATTTGGGTATGGTTAAGAAGCACGGGATGCTAAAATATTGCATTGGGTCGAAAAAATAATGCAGCCTAGCACATATGGGCTGGCTGCAACACACTACCCCGCAACAAATAAAAAAATTGCAGGCCATTGAGCTTGGGGACACGTCTGTAGGTGGCAGCGGGCCGAGGTAAACAACTTATCAAAGCAAAAACAATTTGGTTGCTAGTGGGCTTGGGAAATGATGTTGTGCAACCCATCATACAAAGCAAGTTACAAGCTTACGGTTGAAAGCGAGCCAGTTGCAGATGCAAGCCTAGTCAACAATTGGCTGATGGGTTGGTGTGTGAGAAGCCCAGCAATGCGCTGGCTTCTGGAATGGGATGCGAGATAAGCCTAACAAGTTATGCTTGCTGGCTGGCTGGCTTAAGGCGTTGGACAAGCCTAACACGTGCTGACTTGGTCTGGCATGGGCTGGAGTGAGGAAGAGGCCAGCAAACAAGTTATTGGTATGCAGCTTGGAGGACTGTGGGCCCAACAAATTTCAAAACCAAGGTCGATGGCCTAGTTTACGTACGCAGCAAAGCCCAAATGGCTGCTGCCTCACGGGGGCGTCGATACGACATTGTTCCAACACCCAAGCCTCGAGCTACAGGCTTGGCTTTGGCATCAGGTCGGCGTGGTGGCGCGGCTCTAGGCCTCCGCTTAGCTGCAGATTTCCCAAATTTAAATTTCCCTTTTTTTTCTTTTTTTTTGAAATTCCTAAGGGTTTGAAAACCCTAGTTGCTTATATTTCTTTCAATTCTTTGACTCACAAATTCCATATAGCAAAAAATTGCGTAATGCATGAAATGTGTATATATATACACTAGCAAATATATGAAACATATACAATATATATAGCGGAAGGTAAATCTAAATGTAGGGGGTTCATGCATTATAGGAAATGTTTTCATGCTTCACGGTCGTTTCAAATATCTTAATTTATTTTAAAAGAACCTAATTGGCATAAAACAATTGGGCCTTTGAATTTGTAGAAAATCCTTCTCGGAAAGTCGGAATTGCATCTCCAATGGGTTGTATCACGTTCAATAAAGAAAAATTCATTTGAATCAATAGCATGTTGATCAATTCAAGAAAATAAATAAATTAATCATAAAAAATGATTAAAACGTGATACTCCCCTGATTGAAGAACAAACTCTCTTTAACACAGCGTCAAGAGCGTGCTGATAACGTGTTGTAGGCATAATTTACTAAACAATTATGGAGGCCAGAGGGAGGGGGTGCATCACATGGAGAGAGAAGAGAGAGATATGTAATTGTGAGGTGTGTGTTATTACACCCATTGTGCTTTTATTTATAGTAGTAGTGAGGTGTGTGTTATTACACCCATTGTGCTTTTATTTATAGTAGTAGTGAAGGTAAATTATTTACCCCCCAATAGGATTACAACTCTAATAGGATAATATCTAATCTAAGAGATATGGTAGAATCCCATAAGGATATCCTAGATATGTTAAGATTTACATAATCATATTCCTAATCTAATAGAACGGCAACACCATAAATAATTCATATCATAAAAATGCTAAATTTTATTTGTCCTATTCATTTTACAAAGTAGTTCTTCAAAAATCTTTTTATAAAACATTAAAGACGTGTCCTTATAGTAATCTTAAATTTTTTCATAAAAAAAATTATGATGCTTTGATACCAGATATAAAATTAAGGATCTAAAACTAATATTAATTACATACTAAATCAATTTACACATACAATGAATATGAAGATATGATTGCGGGCACTAGAAGATTGTCCTACTCCCACAAAACTGTATCCTTATGCTTTCAGTGATCACTGACAGAATTTAAACTTGTCTTTGAGAGAGGAGGGACCACCTATATGTAGTCTCATAAGTCCGTCAATATTGCACCTATTAGAACATGATAAAACTCTAACCTGCTAGAGTTACTACAATATGCTTAAACATATATATATAAAGCCTAAATTTACTTCATTAACCTGAGAACATATGAACTCTATATATTACCCCAATTAATAGTCCTTTCGAATAGTGATTATGTGTTCTCAATGTAGTAGATTAATTGAATAATTCAATGTATTGGGAAGTAAAGAAGAGAACGATACATACTAGGGTCGACATTTCTATAATGCTCCGCTTTTTTAACAATTTGTATAAAAATTCAAAATTAATATCTAAAACGATTAAATTAGTATACCAGAAAGCACCATATAACTAGCTTAGCTTTCCATTCAATATATCAAATCATCAATCTAGGCCCATTCTGGTTTTTGCTGCAGGTAGCATTAGTAAGGATGTGGTATATTTACTCAGAAGGGAAAAGGATTAAGGATATATTGCATATGCATATGTGATATGTGGGTATTGGATCAATACAACTGAAGATAAATAGTGAATTGGTGAAGTACATTAAACAGAGAAAAAGACAGGATGGTGAAGTAGGCTAGTACTAGAAATAAAATTAACTGTCTGGCAGAGCCAGTTGCAGTGCAATGCCTGCCAAACTCTGTTAGCTAAGTCATAAAGACAGCATGTTCAGTACCCTCTCCTTCTCATCCCTATTCTTATCATCCTGCCAAGAATTACTTACCTACTACGAGTATTTCATCAATAGTGAAGCATCCCTTTGACATCAAAATAAAAGACGCGTGTAAGTTTTGTCCACATGTATTTATTTTATTGACACATAACACTACATGACGTTGTACTCATGTTATGTAAGTTGTTCTCATTCCTTCACGCATCTTTTATCTATATTATTCACCGCTAGCGTTTGCATAACTTAGTTAACATACACTCTCACTCTCTCTGTCTCTCTCCCTCCCTCCCTCCCTCCTACTAATTAGTAACCAATTATATATCATGAACATGAAAAGCCGCAGCGGTACCAAGGAGAAGATGAAGAAGAAGATGATGATGAGAGGGTTCATGTGCCAGTCTCAGGTAGCAACTGCGGTGTGTATGACTGATGCTCGTTCCATTATCATGCCGCCAACAAGACCAGCTGCAGCTACCACTGTCCGCCACAATCACAATGCTGGACATGGGCATTACATGATGATGAGAAGATCAACTAGTACTAATAACGCTGGTGATGGCGGCAGCGGTGGTCAATACTACTACCCCAGGCTCCTCAACACTCCTCCAGCTCATGGCCATGAGACATCCTACTCTCACGGTCGCAGGCGAAGCACTACCACTAGCAGAATTCTTAACCACCATGATCAGCAGCCAATGTCAAAGTCGATCCGAAAACTACCATTATCTGATCCAGATTTACTACCACCGTCATCATCCGCGGACAATGTCTTCCAGGTAAAAATACATATTTATTTGCAAACTTTGTCATCAACTTTTAATATTTTTTTTCCAACTGTAGTGTGTTAAATGGAACAAAATTTTCTCAAATGTTTATATGAATGATCAACGTCAGTCTAGTCCTATGCAAAAATTCTCAAATCCCCTTATCCCGGACCTCAATCAATCAGTTGAAAATATATTAGGCCCACTGTCAGATCCAGTACTCAATTGAAAGCAGCCATAGCCTGCAAGGCCAGGCCCTCCACAATAACACTATTTTCCTTCTTTTGTTTTTTTATGTAACTATACTATATTTTCTGGATTGTATACTACTGAAGAGTAAAAGAATATCATGTAGGAAATTTGCCAAAATAAATTACAATATATAATGAAAAGTTTCACTTGGTCCGTCTCTCTCAAATCTTGGTTTATATTGCCGACTTCAGCTTAATTACTTTCCTTTCTGCCTAGAAAAACAAAACAAAACAAAAAGTAAATCAATAGTCAAACAAGTTTTACCCTTATATCCACCCATAAAAAAATTATAAGAAAACATTAAGTTCTTCCAAAATTGACTATATATCTCTCTGTTAGAAGTGTTTTAGAAATGTCTACGATCAAGTAAATAGTTCTATGAACGAATGGATCGGGTTGAATTGGAATCATTCTCAACAAGTCCATACGAAGTGATCTCATTTTTTTTCATCCGGTCGAGTAGAGATCAAAGGTCTTGAGTGAATGATCTGGCATAATAACTCAAAGGATAAAGAAATATTCTTAACTTAAAGGTCAATGCAGTGTAATGTGTTGGTTACATATATATGCAGGTGGTTGTTATGAGAGTTTCCATTCATTGCCAAGGATGTGCTGGTAAACTGAAGAAACATCTCTCTAAGATGGAAGGTACGTTTTAATATTTTATATGACTACGAATATCACATTAATATTTTCTAGGCTTTTTCTTCTTAGGGTCCTTGATTCTATTGTGTTTAATTTTCTCTTAGAACTTAGAAGGTTTGATTCACTATATATGTCTTTTAAGGGAGGCACCAATCTTATTTTTAAGAGTTAAGTTATTCACACCCTTTAAAATTTATCGTGTTTTCTCAAAATTTTCATGAGTTCAAAAAATTACACTAAAATCTCCCAAAGTCGGTTTACCGTGTATTTTTCGCTTAACACTTTTTGTTTTGTTATCATTTCCTGTTTGTTTTATCCATTTATGCTTGCAATTAATTAACATTTTCAGGAAATTAAATATTTTTGGGATTTTGTATATATACCAGGGGTTACATCTTTCAGTATTGACCTAGAGACAAAGATGGTAACTGTTAGGGGACACGTTTCAGCAGTTGGAGTCGTGGAGAGCATTTCAAAAGTGAAGAAGGCAGAGTTATTAGCCTCTTGAATCCATTCAAGGGTTACCCCATATAGTGGGAAAAGTTGGTCAATTTTAATAGGTATTTGTCATTACCTTCTGTTTAGAGTAACTACTCCAAGAGGTATTTGACCAATAAAAAAAAAAAAAACTACTCCAAGAGGTAGGTCCTTCCAAAAAATAAAAAGAGGTAAATGTGGGTGCTAATTCGATCATGTGAGCTATGGCCCTATTGATATTGACATGTTTATTTTTCCCTTCTTCCTTTAATTTCCCTGGTCACAAATTGAAAGTGATGGTGATGTATCATGGTTTGACAATCGAAGCAAAATTGAATTTATAGTATTTCTTTATTTCTTACCCTTGTTATGGCAAAAGAAAATTCAAGAGTGGACCGGCTCACAATATAAACAATGTGAATGACGATAAGATATATGATTGAAAGTTTAATAACTAAATACGTAAAGACCAAAGATCTCGATTCATACAAAAAGGCATTTATAGATGTTAGTATTCCCTAAATTTGAGTTTGTAAAGGTTAATATTGTGATAGACCGTTGTCTTCAAATAACATTTATTCTCACTCAAATGAGTTTGGCATTTGGTTTTTGGAAAATCACTTTCAGGTTACATCAAAGTTTGAAATTTTCAACCTAACAATATTAAAGTTATCCTTTGAAAATTCTACAAATAAGTTTAGGGGTGTTTTTTAAGAAGGATTGGATAGAAAACAACATTTCCAATTTTCATTCCAAAATTTTTTAATTGGATTTGATCATAGTTTTTGTAATACCCTGAAAAATTTAAATATATGAATTAGATATTCATAATTATGAATATATAGATAAAATCGAAAATAAATCGATTATGATTATGGAAATAGAATTGGGAAATTTGAACGTTTTGTTTCCGGAAATTATGATAATCTGCGTATTTGTATTATTGAGCTTTTATATGATTTTTTGAGAATTATAATAATTTATGTGAGTTTAAGTTTTAGGTTAAACTAGCTACGAGGTTTAAAGTTTGGAAATTAAATATTTAAAATCTGTAGACCTTTTGAGGTCAAAATTTATACTTTTGAATAGAGCTCGATCTCACGAACACGTAGGCATAAACCTTTCGTGAAACGGAGTTATAACGAAGAAATTATTAACGTTTAAAGTCAGCAATATTATGGTAATTTTATTCCCATTTAGAAGGCTCTAGAAAATCTGGAGCAATGAGTTGTGCCACATGTGTGGCTGTGGTGAAAGGAAAAATAAATGATGGATGGCTGTGATTAAAATAACATAAGAGAAAAGAGAGAAGGAGAAAGGAATCAGGTGGAAATGGCCAATGGGGGAAGAGAGCAAGGAGATGAAAGGAGAGAGGGGAGAGGAACCCTTCGACTCGGTTACATCCATGACCCAACCCGGCCGGATCTCCCCCAATTCCGGCCACCTTGGACGACGGGAAGGGTGCCAAATTGATCCTTATTTCGAACCCAATCGTTACTTCTTCCTATTACACACCAAAAAGAAAATATTTGGCCTTGCAATTAGGAAAAAAAAATGCACCGGTGGTGCGGCGGCTCTTGCTCGAGTTTCCCAAAATTTTGAAATGTTTCCACCCAATTACTACCACCATTAGACTCCCCTTGGGACGTCGGAGTTTTTTTGGAGTCGAATTAAAAACACCAAAAAACAAGGGTTTCCGGTGGTTCGTGGCCAATATGAGGTGTTTTCAGGCCAAATTGGACTTGGCCGCAAGTATGAAACTTGATCCACCCATTGAGATCTACATCTCTGTAAAATTTGGTAATTTTTGTAAATAGTTGATATTTTTCGGCGATTCGGAGCGGCCGACCGCCACCAGCGGCCCCGCGTGCGGCGGTGAGCCAACGCCATATTTTTAAGTCAATTTTGTTTGATTTATGGTTACTTATGTGAATTTCGTAATTTGGTTAAATTTAAATTGGTAAACTACGAAATGTTTGATCCCGTTCAAGGGTATGTAGGCAGTCTAACAGTGTTAGATGCAGCCTTAAACACTTTGAGAATAAATGTTACGTTAATGGAAATTGATCTATGAAATAAGATGGAGACATAGCCATAAAATAAGTAGTACATTTGTTATGGAAATTATAAATTATGGTTCATGGATGGAAATAAGGAATATAATTAAAGAATCGATAAATGGTAGTTAAATAATCAAGAATTTATTTTTTGTGAGAAGTTGTCGTAATAGAAGTAAATTTGGAATTTGAATTGATAGTCTAATAATATGTTTTCACATTGAAAAATATGGTTAGCTATGAAGGAAATTAAAGCATGAAAGTGTAAAATTGTGATTATTGGTAGTAAACTAAACAAAAGTTTAGTTTGGGCCTATTACTAATATAATTATTATTTTCCGAAATTAAACAAATATTTTGGGGCAGGGCTTTACAATTTTTAACTTCAGATCAGTTTTCAGCAAATTCAGAAATTTCGGAATCAGAGTAATCTCGAAAATTTCATAACATAATTTGCTATATGCTTATGTATTTTATAATTTTTTGAATATTCTCAAACATTTTCCTACATGCAAATTATTGTTCTTTCCTAATATTTAGTATATGCTTATGTATAAATTTAAATAACTTTGTGGTATACTAGTATGCTTATCCTTTTTAATATATAAGCGTATGTTTAATAATATAAAAAATTATCAAAATGTATCCAAAACTAACATTATAATACAAAAATTAATTACAAAATATAGAATATGACTCTATGAGTAATTAACTATAAAAAATTAAAAAAAAAGTTTTGGAAGTTTTTGTATTGGAATAAGTTTGGAACACTAAAAAAAATTCGGATTGAAAATACTCGGATTTGAATTTTCGGGTTCGGATTTTAAAACTTACTGGCGAAATTGGAAACACGATTCCAATTTGCACCCCTAAATAAGCTGCCTTTAAATCTAAACTTTAAAATTTTCTTTTAAATATTCTACGGATTATTAGTACTTCAACCGAACCAACTTACCTATTGAACAAGTGGTCATATTTTTTTTATCGGAAAAGGATTTTTGAAATGTACAATCCAATGCAACCCAAACCATTTTGGTTGGATTGGTCGGGTTAGTCAGCAAACCCACTAATGCCCAACCCATTTAGGTGTCTCTATTTTTTAAAATGGTTTAACTTCTCACAAATTGAGAGTATGTGCACGCTGCTAGTTAAGATTTAATTAATCTAGGATAAAGATGTGTTAAGGAGACTAAATATTTAATTTTAATTAAATTGGTCTTACTAGTATTACTCTTAATTGATAGACCCACTGTTTATCCACAAATAGTTACATTATCAAACTATTGTCATTTTGTTTCTTGTTACAAAAGTTATTGTTATTTCTAATTCACTGCTCACAGCTCACATATGAAAATAGCGTTTTGCTTTTTTGCTTTTGTTTTTATCCCTTCTTGGCCTGGAACTGTAGATAATAACAATATAGACATAAACATAAATGACAAGAGAATGTAATTTACTAATCTAAGTTTGGCCGTATACCTACGCGCATATATATTAGAAATATTTATCCTTTGTCTCGATTCGGTTACAACTTTTCAAAGTAGGATCAAGAGTGCAACTATAATTATTGTGTTTCGTTTAGTATCACCAGTGCATGTGAGTTTGGCCGTATTACGATTAATTAGTATTCCTTTTAATTTTTAAGTGACAAGAGCGAAGACTTCTATGTCGTCCAACAGCTGAGTCAGAATTTGGCTGCTCAATAATAGCCTGCCAAACCTTGAAACAGAATGACTGTATTTAGATGCATATATAGTCCGATCCTATTATCTTCCTTCCTTTAGCTTCGTTGGTTCTGACGCATATTGTTTTTGATACAAAACTGTTTTAATTACCTTGGATTAATTATATTGCACGCCCACACTAATTAGACAAAGAGATTGATCAGTGTCGTCAATGCTTTCAAGGTTCTCAGTGATCCACATTCAAGTTTATTATTAAGGTACCAACTTAATTACTCTACACAGCTTAATTAGACTCTCTGTTCAATATATATATATATATATATATATATATTGTTCATATTTCTAATTTGGAACATGATATATTTTGGTTATATGTTTTTCAGTGTCATTCATTCTTTATAATGATTTTCATAGTTTCATTGTTGATCTTGAAAATAAAGTGAAGTACAAATTAATTTGAGTAATTGTTTGTAATTGTCACTGCGCTTAATCGTTAATCTGGCTGGCGGAGAAGGATCACCATGCATGAATGGCTGTCGTCTAAAGTACGTTCCAAAGTCCAGCTAGCAAGTATGAGAGAGACGATTGTATGGTACTACGATTTAGTGATATTCTGCTCTACTTACAAGGGAAGATCTTAGCTTTTACTCTTGTGAATGGTGAGCTAAATACCAAATGATTATGATTGACTAACCCATTGTGCGTCTCAACTCAAATTCCCCATTCCATAGTGCAAATATATCGTTGTATTTAAACAACCAAAATTATATGAAGGAGTTGGATGATTGTGATGTCAAGGTGTGGTTAAGCTCAGCTTGCTTTGTTGGCATGGTGAAGGCTACTGAATTAAACACTTGTATATGTAATTATATATAGTGAGTTTGAGTTGAGGATATCCTTGTACGGTTCACCTTCCAACAAGCTGTTTGTTTTCGTTCTTGCAAAAAATCACTTAAATTGAATATCTAAATGGTTTTGAATTTGTCTAATTTTCGTAAGGACGATCTATGAATGAAAACAACTATAGACAATTCGGATGATTAAAAGAGGAACTCTTAGAGTTATTTGATTTCCCCTTGGTGGTAACTATCTTCTGCTTAGAAACTGAAGTACGTTCTTTAAGATGTTATGATCAGTTTAGCTCAAAAAAAAAAGTTTGTGAAACTGTAGCAGGGTAGCCAGCTCGATTGTAGAAGTGGGGTGTCTGGTCTTGGTATAATGAGTAAGCGTATCAAAGACAATGAAGCGGACATCAGCAGCGGACCTTCATCGAACCAACAAACTAATTCAGCTGAGAGAGTGTTGCCGCAGCAGCAGCAGCAGCAGGCATATCAAGTTCATAAGGTTGGAGAGCCTGCGAAGCCACAACTTTTTGAGGAATTCAGTGCCATCATGAAGGAAACTTTCTTTTCGGATGAGCCCTTGCGTGCTTTCAAAGACCAAACAAAGAGGAGGAAGTTGGTTCTCGGTCTTCAAGCTCTCTTCCCGATATTTGGGTGGGTGAGGGATTACAACCTTTCTAAACTCAGAGGAGACGTCATCGCTGGATTTACCATTGCAAGTCTCTGTATTCCTCAGGATCTTGGATATGCAAAGCTTGCCAATCTGCCCAGTGAGAATGGCTTATGTGAGTCTTCCATCTTCGTCTTCTACCGGCCTTTAATGCATGTACCGTAGCCAAGTCCGGAATTTGATAGATAAGTTAATACATATACACGATTATAACATGATCCGTACGTGATGCAGACAGTAGTTTCGTACCACCGCTTATTTATGCGTTCATGGGTAGTTCAAGGGACATTGCAATTGGACCGGTGGCCGTCGTGTCTCTGTTGCTTGGGAGTTTGGTGCAGAATGAGGTTGATTATAAAACGGATGCAGATGACTATCTGCGCCTAATGTTAACTGCTACATTCTTTGCCGGAGTCACACAACTTACTTTAGGATTTCTCAGGTATTATCATCATCATGTCTGTCTATATAAAAGAACATATATATATGTGTGTGTGTGTGTGTGTGTGTGTGTTGTATGCATGAATATTAGTTAGTAATTAATTCATAGTTTTGTGCAGGTTGGGATTCTTGATTGATTTTCTATCTCATGCTTCCATTGTTGGATTTATGGGCGGAGCTGCCATTACCATTTCCCTTCAGCAGCTTAAAGGGTTACTTGGCATCAAGATATTTACCAAGAAACCTGACATTGTTTCCGTTATGCGTTCAGTATTTTCTGCAGTACATCATGGGGTACTGATATATTGATGCAGCACGATATAATGAACAAGGAAATTGAACGAAATACTCTAAGCTAGAATTCACTAGCAAACTAAGAAAACCTCAAAGTTTATTGTTGAATGATATGGAAAGATTACAATCCTAGCCCCCTAAGGCTGCTTATATAGTCTTAGCCATAGGATTTCTAGAGTACAATAGAAAACGAGAAGCAAATAACAAAATACCAAAAGGGTCATAAATCTTAAAATCCCATTTTAGGTTTGTAAATGAAGAAATTAGGCCAAAATGACCCTACAGTAGGGCAAAGTGATTTTTTGGTTCACCTTGCCGTTCTCTCCGAAACGGCAGGTCACGCGTCCAAACCGGACATGGGAGGCCAAATCTACAATGCTTAGCCTTGCAGCCGATTTTACACCTTTCCAACAAATGTTTTTCAATCCTTTCAGCCATCTGTCCATATATATAAGCTGATCATATGCACATGTGTCAAGAGCGATTAAGTGAGTTTAATTGATATTGTTTATAAAGTATATACTGTTTTCTAACTGACTAGCTTATAGTTCGTCGAGTGGTACTTCTTTTCAATGTATTAATACGTCTCAAGTTCCAATTCCCCTCTTGAATGCCTTTTCTTCATATCTAATTTATCAACTGTATGTCTAACTTTGCAGTGGAACTGGCAAACTATACTAATAGGAGTCTCCTTCTTGGCATTTCTTCTGTTGACGAAGTACATCGTAAGTTCTATTGCTTCTCATAAATTTAGTTCCGCTCAATTGAGAATCAACTGTATATTCATTGATTAATCTTGAATTAATTGATTTATTGGAGCTTGCTAAATTGCTAATGATAATGCTGATGTAGGGAAAAAAGAACAAGAAACTATTTTGGGTGCCTGCAATTGCACCTTTGATCTCAGTTATCCTGTCTACCTTTTTTGTTTATATCACCCGTGCAGATAAGAAAGGTGTTGCAATTGTAAGTAAATTTGAATGTACTGCATTATAATTAAGCATATATAATACTGAAAATTCATTTGACGTTTACGTTTTAATCTTTTTGTTATTTCAGGTGTATAAAATAAGGCCGGGCGTAAACCCACCTTCCGCTCATTTAATTTATTTCACTGGAGAGAATGTTATGAAAGGCTTCAGGATCGGTTCTGTGGCCGGTATGGTAGCATTGACGGTAAGCTTGAACTACGTACTTGCCAAACCAGCTGAACGAACATATTAATCTTGAAATATTGATGGATGGATAATTTATTGATTGACTAATTAATTGATTGATTATATTAAACAGTTAATGTTTTTAATTAATACGCGCAGGAAGGTGTAGCAATCGCGAGAACGTTTGCTGGGATTAAGGACTATGAGGTTGATGGAAACAAAGAAATGGTGGCAATGGGAACCATGAACATTATTGGTTCTTTCACATCCTGCTATGTTGCCACCGGCTCCTTTTCTCGCTCAGCTGTCAATTACATGGCCGGCTGCCACACAGCGGTCTCAAACATCGTCATGTCTTTGGTGGTCCTCCTCACGTTGGAACTCATCACACCCATTTTCAAGTACACCCCCAACGCCATTCTCGCTTCCATCATTATTTCAGCTGTGCTGGGACTGATCGATTTTGAGGCCATGAAACTCATCTGGAAGATTGACAAATTCGACTTTGTTGCTTGCATGGGAGCCTTCTTCGGTGTGGTTTTCATTTCCGTTGAGATTGGCCTGTTGCTTGCCGTCTCCATTTCATTTGCCAAAATCCTCTTGCAAGTCACAAGACCAAGAACCACGCTGCTAGGAAAGCTCCCCAGGACTAATGTGTACAGAAACATCCAGCAGTATCCCCATGCCACACAGATTCCCGGGATTCTCATTATTAGAGTTGATTCTGCAATTTACTTCTCCAACTCGAACTATATTAAAGAGAGGTATGAGAATAACTACATACACATATATGGATGTGTGGATCAATCTGCATGTCCAAATGTTCTCTTATCAGACAATTTGTTCTCGCTTAGACATATATTCGATATTCACAATTTACCATCGTAACTCTAACAAGTGACAAGTTAACGTACTAGGTATGATCACTGGTCGGCTAGAGCCTAGAGAACTAATTGACACCAATTAACTAATTTCCTTCAGGATTTTGAGATGGGTAACAGACGAAGAAGAACAACTAAAGGAAAAGAGTCTACCCAAAATCGAGTACTTGATCGTAGAAATGTCACGTAAGTGAATTCTAATTTTGTCGACTGCCATATAGATTTTACTGATTGAGAGAGATGGCATTAATTCACGGATTTTCATTTCCCGGCCGCAGCTGTCACTGACATAGACACAAGTGGAATTCATGCCTTGGAAGAGCTCTACAGGAGTCTTCAGAAGAGAAAGATCGAGGTAATGCCTTCAATCTTTTCGATAAAAATCTACTCATTGTTACTGCAGTTAACAAGTGACTTGGTTGAAATAACTAATTTGACAATTTCGGTAATGTTACATTTCAGCTTGCTTTAGCAAATCCTGGCACAGTAGTCATTGACAAGATTCATGCATCGGAGTTTGTCGATTTGATTGGAAAGGGCAAGATTTTTCTTTCAGTTGCAGATGCCATTCTTACATTTGCCCCCCATCATGAAGAACCTTGATTTACTCCAACAAACAAGACAGGGTTATCCAAGAACTATATTTTTCGTTTCCTTCTCCTCCTTCCTTTTCTGTCTAAAGTAAGATGGCTAGGGGTCACTTTCTTTTTCCTCTCTTTTTGTATGCTGTATTTTTCTCTTTTTTCTGGGTCATCTTCCGACCTTCGCACACAATGTATATGCAATCTGTCTTAGTTTTTTTCTTGTTCTTTTTCCTTGCGAATTCAGTTTTCTTGCAGTTTGTTTTCTTCTGCGGAAGCACTTATATGCTGAACAATTTAAATGACAAGCAGTCCAAAAGGCCTACTAACGGCTGCAATTTCCAATCTAACGGCCGGAGAATTTTCTTGCCAGACGTCTGGCAAAAGATCAGTTCTGATAGTATGATTCGAGACTCGAGACATCAACATAGTTTACAAAGGAATTTGGCTTAAAAACCATAAATTATAGAATAGCGATGTGCTGCAATCTTGGTGTTGTTCTCTCGGAAATTGCATAAAAACCATAAACCTAAGTCGTAGCACGGAGCCCAAATCTGTGCCAAGTGGAGCTTGTAGTTGTATTTGTGCTTGTCGAGCTGATCTTCGATACAGTCTACGTAAAACCACAATTTCATTTTGTTTTGGGTGTTGTTTTCTTTTAAAATTGTTTTTAGTGTTAAATTGTGTGCCATGTGGGGGCCATCCCCTTTTTGGTCTCCTTCTTCCCTCTCTTTCCCGTCACTCTCCCTCACTTTCTCTCTTTCTTCTTATCCTTCACCGTGCCACACTCATAACCCATATCCTAAAATCATCATCAAATCACAATTTCAACATCGCCATCGTCTTTATCTCGTCACTACAAACTCAACCATAGTCTTGGCATCTTGGAAGTTGAACCATGAAGCCCCGTACACGAGCTCCGACGCAGACTGCTACTTTCGAGGCAATTTCCGGCCAAACCACTGTGAGTTGGCATGTGTACAAGGTATAAATCTCTTCGTCTCACTAAGTACTACAACTTTTCTTTTTGTTTCAACCAATTACGTTGAGTATTGAAGAAGTTATATCCATTTGAAACTTACCCAGTTTCCTGCGACCTCAATGGTTTTTAAGGAGTTTTCCGGCCAAACCACGGTGCGTTAGACATCTTGTAAGGTACCATTCTCTTCGTCTCGTCGAGAACTACAACTTTCATTTTTGTTTCACTCAATTTCGTTGAGTATTGACAAAGTTATGAGCATTTAAAGTTTGTCCAACTTTCCGGCCGAAATCCGGCCTTCCCTTCCGTTTAGCTCTGGCGAGCAGCAACCCAACCAGGCCTTTGGGCCTTTCTTGCCAAGCCCAACCCAACCCTTTTAGGTTTTTTTGTTTTAAAGGCCTTTGGGCCTTGTAGGTTAAAGCCCAAAACCAAATTTAGTTTGGTTTTATTTTTGTTTCTCAAAAACCATAAGGCTTTGGCCCTTTCTCCTTTAGGGCCTTCGGCCCGAGTAACCCAAAACCCCAATCCTCTAACCTATTAACCCAAAACCCTTTTTAAATTAGAAAACCCTTAACCCATTAACCCAATTATTTACCCTAGGCCTTTTATCAACCCAATTCCCAAACTCATTAACCTAAACCCATTAACCCTTTATCCTAAACCTAAACCTAAACCACCTAGACCTAAGCCCTAAACCCTAACCAGTACAAACCCTTTTTGGGGAATATTCCATTACGAAATATTCTATCAGGGAATATTCTATTGACTTTTACAAAATTTAACCGAGACCCTTCTTAGGGTAATTCGACATCCTGAATCCGTTTCCAATGTATGTTTTCCCAAATTCAATTGCTATTATATAAGTTTTATTAATTGGACCCTTTATGTGTTTAGGGGCAATTATTTGTGGCGTTTCTGTCTTCGCTAGTTGCATGGCTCTTTGGCAGCTAAGTACTGTGAGTGGACCCCTTCTAAAAATGCATGTTTTAACAATAGAAATGCAAACATGAAAAGCATGATTTAATGATTACGTTTTATGAAATGTTTTATGAGATAACATGCTTACTGAGGCTAGTTTGAATTATTACTATTTTTCCTATAACCCATGTTCTTATAGAATATCCAATGAATGACAATATGATATTGAGAACATGTTTCGAACACCTCTTTATAGTATAGATGATGGATGACCTTATACTATGAAGTTGCTTTTCAATATATATATATATATATATATATATATATGTTTAATGGTTTTGTACTTACCTAGTGGTCCTTTCTGCTACGGAACGTAGGGATAGATTCTAGTCCGTCCTGGGCGACGGTTTGGTGTTGCCATAGGGCCTGGAGTGTGTTTCCTCTGGCTATTTAGCACAGGGACAGGGAGCCGGCATGGGGCCTGGGGGTTATTGGACAATTCACTAGTGATTATTATATATACAATTTATGATTTGAGACATTGCACGACATGCTAGGTTTCAGAAAACCTATGTTTATCATGATATATATGTGTTTTCATAAAACCTGGGGATTAGTATGTTGATAAATGTTTTAGTATGTGTTTTCATAAAACCTTATTCCGTTAGACATTGTTGATTTTGATGTGATTTTGGGCACTGATTGCTTACATTATAATCGTGCCAAGATAAATTGCTATGGAAAGGCAGTTACTTTCCATCGTCCTAGATTATCTGAAGTTACATTTGTAAGAGAGCCTAGCGGGGTGAGGCATGGTGTTATTTCTGCCCTGAAAGCTAAAAGATTGTTGTGGAAAGGTTGTCAAGGATATTTGGCTCATGTGGTGTTGAATGATAATACTCCTAGTAGTGTGGAGGATATACGTGTGGTCAAGCATTTTCCGAATGTGTTTCCTGATGATTTGCCTGGATTACCGCCAGATAGAGATGTGGAGTTCGTTATTGATCTTCTTCCAGGTACGAATCATATATCTTTGACTCCTTATAGAATGGCTCCTACTGAATTAAGGGAATTGAAAGTTCAGTTGCAAGAATTAGTGGATAAAGGATTTATTCAGCCTAGTACTTCACCCTCGGGAGGTCCAATCTTATTTGTGAGGAAGAAAGACGGAACCTTGAGACTATGCATTGATTACAAGCAATTGAATCAAGTAACAATTAAGAACCGTTATCCGTTACCTCGTATAGATGATTTGTTTGATCAACTCCGAGGTGCCTGTGTGTTTTCTAAGATTGACTTGAGGTCTGGTTACTACCAGTTGAAGATTAGAAGTAAAGATGTCCCTAAGACCGCATTCAGGACTCGATATGGTCATTATGAGTTTCTTGTGATGCCATTCAGGTTAACTAATACACCAACAGCTTTTATGGATTTAATGAATCGAGTATTCCAGCCATATTTGGACAGGTTTGTCATTGTCTTTATCGACGATATTCTGGTATACTCTAAGACTAGAATAGAGCTAGACATCTTAAATTGGTGTTGAAAAGTTTGAGGGAACACCAGTTATATGCTAATGCAGTGCAGGTGGATTGAGTTACTTAGTGATTACGATTGTACGATTGAGTATCACCCTGGTCGGGCAAATGCATTGGCATATGCACTTAATAGGAAGACTCCAGCTAGACTTAATGCCATCTATGATTGTCATGTTCCTCTTCTTACGGATTTGAGGTCCACTGGAGTGGAGTTAGGAGTAGAAGATAGAGGGGAAGCCTTCCTTGCTAATTTTTAAGTTAGGCCAATCTTAATTGATCGTGTGCTCGAGGCCCAGATGAATGATTAAGAGACCCAGGAAATAATTCAAGCAAGGAATTAGGGGAAGAAGAAAGATTTCAGAATTCGAGAAACTGATGGTATGCTTATGCAGGAAAGTAGAATGTATGTGCCGAATAATGTAGAGTTAAAGAAAGAAATCCTTGATGAAACGCATATTTCGGCATATGCAATGCATCTAAGAGGTACCAAGATGTATCATACCATTCGACCATTTTATTATTGGCCGGATATGAAAGAGAAATTGTCGAATATGTGAGTAGGTGTGCCATTTGCCAATAGGTTAAAGCTGAAAGGAAGAAGCCGTTTGGGTTGATGCAGCCACTTCCCGTTCCACAGTGGAAATGGGAAAATATCACCATGGATTTTGTGTACAACCTTCCTCGTACACAAAATGGTTATGACGGCATTTGGGTGATAATTGATTAGCTTACTAAGTCAGCACACTTTATTCCAATGAGGGAAAAATATCCATTAAGCCAATTAGCTAAGTTATTCATATCGATGATCGCAAAGTAACATAGTGTTCCAGTTGATATTATCTCGAATCGGGATCCTAGATTTCCTTTCAAGTTTTGGGTAGCATTCCAGGAAGCTCTTGGTACGAGATTACTTTATAGTACGGCATATCATCCTCAGACTGATGGGCAATCTAAGAGAACCATTTAAACGTTAGAGGATATGTTAAGATCTTCAGTGCTGCAGTTTGGCGATGGTTGGCATGATTGTTTGGATTTGATGTAGTTCGCCTACAACAACAGTTACCATTCGAGTATTGGTATGGCACATTTTGAGGCACTTTATGGCAAGTCTTGTCGAACGCCATTATGCTGGTCAGAAGTGGGTGAAAGAGTTTTAGTGGGTCTTGAGATAGTGGAGGAGACTACTCAAAATGTTCAGGTAATTAAGTATAACCTGAAAACGGCCCAGGATCAACAGAAGAGTTTAGCAGATAAGCATGCCACTGACTGGAGGTATAATGTAGGTGATTGGGTATTTCTGAAGCTATCACCATGGAAATGTATTGTGCGGTTTGGAAAAAAAGGCAAGCTGAGTCCTAGGTATATTGGACCATATATGATCACCGAGCGAGTCGGTGAGGTTGCTTACAAGCTTGAGTTGCCTCCAGAGTTGTCCAAAGTGCATGATGTGTTTCATGTTTCGATGCTTCGTCATTTTGTTGCAGATCCTTCACATATGATTCCTCCTCAACCTTTGGAAATTAATCCGGATTTGACTTATGATGAGGAACCAGTGACTATCTTGGATTGGAAAGACAAGGTTCTGAGAAATAAAACTATGTGTTTAGTGAACATTTTGTAGAGAAATCATTCAGTGGAAAAAGCTACTTGAGAGACAGAAGGCCGGATATGTAGTAATTAATGAAAAATAGATTAAACACACCATAATCATTTATATATAATGATTTACTACAATATTTTACACTTTATACATTGCATGGTAAGATACATGAGTGATTTAGTACCACATAAAGTTCCTATGAGATTCAAAAATTTCACTATCTTCATCATCTCTATGTGTAGACTAAGTTTATTGTGAAGAGTATTCATCAAACGATAAATCC